GTCGTTTTTATATACAGGAGAACGAAAAAGGTAGGAATTAGCACGCACAAACCCCAACCTTGATTACCTGCTGATTACATAACAGCTCCTAACCCCAGACCGAAAAAGAATCGAGAGCTGAATACTAGATTCGAAAATGGCAATGAAGAAGCGCCCCAAACCTGGTAGGCGGCAAGGATGAGATTCAGGCGGTCTCCAAACATCATTTTACTACGCAATACCTCCAGGGCTAGTTTGAATCTGCTCCCGATACAAGCGGGGAATCATTACTACCAAAGGACATCTCCATATAAGTTTGAAAAGCGTCAATATTGATCAGAACGGGAATCTGTATTGTGAATATCAATTGCGCCCCCAAAAACACACACAAAATGGGATATGTGTACAAATCTGCAACACTGAACGGAAAGGCTGCCCATCATTCTTTTTTTCTTTCTAGCTGATGGTGTATATTCATGAAGAGCCAGTGCGCTCTGCCTCCAATTCCTGCTCGGCTTGCTGGTAGTATTTGGCAGTGTCCACGCCATGCTGATACAAAAAACAATCAACATCATCCCTCCCAAATCGACTCAAATGGAGGACTTACCTGATCGTGGTTGACAAAGTTAAACCATGGGACAACATGGATGAAGAGTTCTGAGTACCGCGAGTTGCGGGCTGCCATGCCTTGTAGATGAGGCGACATTTGGGATTTACCGTACAGAGGCTCGCCCTTCTTGACCTTATCGACCATCTCACGAGTATCCATCTCAACCTCCCTAGCATTCTCAGTGAAGCCGTAGAAGCGCTCTGTGAAGGTGTGAGTGAGATGTCATCCAAAAAAGCGGGTCAGAGTTCAAGTGGAGGGATATGACTTACGGCAGGATCGCTGATAGAGCACATGAAGACCGCCAAGCAGACCAACAGCTGTCGCGAGTCGCATAACAGGAGCGAAGCCACCACGGCCTACATGCGACGGACTTGCTCTCTCCATGATCCAGAGCGAGATGGGAGCAGCCGAGGCCATTCCGCCAGCCACGGCCCAGTCGGAAGGCCGGGCATATCCGAACACTCGTTTCAAATGCCTGAAAAAGATATAAGCTTGTGATAAAATCCTAGAATCCGGGGTAAAGCGTACGGGTCGGAATCGATCAACTGTGGGATATGTTAGCCAAAGACATACGCAAGCAATCGGGAACGGAAACAGTAGTAGCCCCGGTTCATCTTAGATCAATCATACCGGGTAGTCAGTATTGGCCCGCTTAGAGGGCACAATGGCTGTTTTGGTATCGGTCGCCATGTTGCTTGAAGTGTGGATGTGCAAGCATTCGAGGTTGAAGTTCTGGGAGTTGGAGAGGAGGGCGAAGCTAACCTTTTTGGGACTAGCGCAAGAAAGGCGGACAAGAGGTCCGACAGCCAATCAGAGCGCATATAACAGGCTACTCGCGTCACGCGTCAAGGTCGCATCTGATTGATTGACATGGAATTTCAAGATAGCATCCCATACGGAGTACGCCGTACACAAAGTTCAACTGCTCCAATCCAACTGCCAGGTTTTTCTTTTTCTTTTTCGTTCACCTTCAGTTATCTGGTCTAGTCAAATCGATCCCTTGATAAAATTGTACCCACAACGGTACCTGCACGCGATTAGAAATATGGCGAACGCGAATGTTTCAGAGAGAGGAAGCTCACCAACAGCAGATGATTTGAACGATCTGTTTGATTATGACATTGGCTTGGATGAGATTATTCCGGATAATAATGCTCCCAATACCAACAGCACCAAGGCCTCTGGGATAGGAGATTCTGCACTTGGTTTGGGTCTTGATGAAGAAGTCAAAGTCGCAAAGAAACGACAACCTGTGGCTAAATTAGATGAGGGCCGGTGAGTCTCACTTGCTACCTTCTTTCTTGACTGAAATCTGTTATTTTTTTGTTTTGTTTCGGGAGAGCATTTGGAGCTGCAACAATGCTGACGAATAGGCTAGTTTACTCTCACAACCGGGCATACCCAAACTGCGACATACTGCTAGACAGAAGCTGAAATTCAAGGGCAAAGGATACGAGGTTCGTTCTCTTGTCTATCCAAGATACCTAGTGCATGGCTAGTGTAACTGACTTGAGTTCGCTATAGTTCAAAGACGCCGCACGCCTGCTCAACTTTTACCAGTTATGGCTCGATGACCTATTTCCACGCGCAAAATTCGCAGACGGACTGACAATGATTGAGAAACTGGGACACTCTAAACGCATTCAAACCATGCGACGAGAATGGATAGACGAGGAGAAGCCGAGACTGTTCGATAGTTCTGGACCCACGCGAGAAGAGCTCGAAAATCGCCACGTCCCCACGGACCCTGCAGATTCCAATCACAACCCAACCGCGATTATTATGGGCCAGGAAGAGATTGCCGACCAAGACCTATTTATTCTAGATCCAAACGAGAGCGCGGCGCCTACTGTCAGCTACCCCGAGCCCGAGGACGATGACTTGGAGGATCTTCTCAGAGAACAAGATGAGCCAATGTCAGATTTTCCACCCGACAGGCGTATCTCATCTTCACGAGCACCAGATGACGATAACGACTATGATGCCGAATATGAAGCGATGAAGGAGCTTGGGATGTAGTTGTGGAAGGCATCTGTACGATGAGTTTTTAATGACAGCAATGGTATATGTTTAACCCCGGGATAAACCCGCTGGTTCCTGTTTAATCGATTCATTTCGGCTATGTAGGGCTCAGCTAGGGATTGGCCGAATGGGTCTGAAACTAAAATTACTAGGAATACCACATTGGATCACATTTGAGGAAAAAGAATTAATTTCAAATAACATGCTAACTGAGTAGAATAACTGGAGACTGCAAAGCAACTCTTCATGTACTGCCCCGGAAACGGGACAAGACGAAGGGAGAAAAAGAGACATTAGATGTTACAGTAAAGGATGGGCCAATTGAATATATTGACCTCATACGCTGGCAGGCTCCGTGAACACAGAGAACTGACCACCGGCACCCGCCCAGTTCAATTTCTTTCCACGAGTAGCAGTGTTATCGATAACAGTAGCCACCTCGATGTCATCCTGTGTACCTTGTCCCGTTTGATAGGTAGCAGAGAAACCCCATGACCATGCACGGCCATCGGAATCGATAGCGAGAGAATGATCCGAGGCAGCTGCCACAACCTTGGCCTTGATGCCCGGAACAGGGGTAGGCGCGATCAGGATACGGGGGCGATCGCGCTCATCCTTGATAACGGCGTCATCGGAAAGTGTATCGATCTTCAGGCCGCTTTGGAAACCGTCAAGACGGCCCCAAACCAAACATTCACCATCTCCAGCAATGGCAATCGAGTGATGAGCGCCGCCGCAGATTTGTGAAATATTTTTGTCAGAAAGTGATTCGACAAGAGTGGGATGCACGATAGCAGCTTCATCGTCGCCAGCGCCCTCGCGGAGGGCGGTTGCACCAAAGCTATTCAATCCCCAGGCATAGACCTTGCCAGTGGTGTGAACAGCAAACGAGTGGTACGAGCCACTCCCGATGTGGACGATGTTCTTAGGGAGACCGAACTCTCGGGGCTGAAGACCATTCAGCCTGTTGCGCTCCACGATCCTGCGACCGAGCTGATTCTGTTGTCCTGAGCCCCACGAGTAGACGCGACCTTGGTCGTTCAGGGCAAGAACGTGATTAGCTCCGCAAGTCAGGTGTTTGATCTTCTTCAAAGACGAGATCAAAGTTGGGGTCGTTTGAACGTGAGAAGACGCGTCAAATCCGAGGATTCCATCGTTGCTCTAGAATCGTTGTTAGTAAAAGCAATGTAATTCAAAACAGTCAGTTCGTCTTACTCGGAAGGTGCCCCAGCTATAGACTAGACCATCATCGGTCAGGGCAAAGCTTGCGCTATCGGCGGCGGCGACTTCAACGAAAACAGTGCCTTCGGGGAAAGCGGTGACGGGAATAGCAGTGGGAATAGACTCCCGGGGGTTTAATCCACTGTCTTCATCATCGGAATCGGAATCGCTGTCGTTTTCAATGTCCTTGTATCCACCGTCCCATTCGGTTTCTCTTCCGAGCGCACCCTGATCGTTCACGCCCCAGGAGAATATCTTGTTGTCATGCGTTAGAGCTAGACAGTGCATGCCACCGACAGCAACCTGTACAACTCCGACTTCTTCGGCAGACAGAAGCTTATTCAAACGCGGGCGCTTCACATCAATAACATTCTTAGCTGTGCCCAACCCCAGCTCACCAGAGCTACCCTCACCACAGACGAATACATTCAGTTTAGTTTTCGGGGCCTCGTTGATGATAACTTTGACTTTCGGCTTTGGCTGACGGGGTTGCGCGACACGAGATCTTTTGATTTCGCGAGGTTTCTCCTCATCTTCATCAGCTTTGCGCTTCTTCGTAGCAGAGGTCGATTTGGTAGATGTTGCCATTTTGCTTGGCTTCGCAGTTGACTTGGTAGATGTTGCAGTCGGCTTCGTAGTGGACTTTGTAGTGGACTTTGCAGTAGCCTTTGCAGTGGGCTTTGCGGTAGGTTTTTCAATGGACTTAGTGGTGGACTTTGCAGCTGCCTTTGTAGACTCTTTCACAGGGTTTTCGGCCTTTGTCATAGTGATCTGCCTGGCGCTGGTGCGTAGTCGAGTACTTCTCTTTACCGTCTCGGTTGAAGCCTCGACGGGCTTGGACGTGTTCTTCTTAGGAGGCATTTTGCCTTAGACTGAGCTATTAGAAATAGCAAAGAATGAGAAAGAACAGGGGGTGGGGAGGAATGTTTGAGACTGAAAGAATAAAAGGGAAAAGGTATGTGAAGGGGAAAAAAGAGAAAAAAGGACGCCAAGCCAAAACAGCCAAAACAATAGCACATTCTCTCCCCAGCCACCTCAATGGGCTGATTCATTGACATTCGTTGATTTTTATTGAGAATTAACGCGTTGTTACGCGTGAATATGTTTTCTTTATTGATCTATCTATGAATTGAAGAGCATTATAGAATTACAATAGCCCATCAATGCATCAACGGCTGGTTTCTTCACGAATCTTTCCACACATAATCACATTTTGTCCCAATGGCATCCATTTAACTTCTCGAGGATTCAACGCAGCATTGGGTGCACCCTCTTGATCTTGTTTCGAGTCAGGGCTGACATTCACTCCACCACGGCCCAGGTAGGTGGGAGCAACCGTGACAATAATCGAGTCAATGAAGCTTGTATACTCTGGATTCAACAATTCACTCAGAACCGTACCACCGCCTTCAATCATGACGCTTTTAATGCCCTCCGATGCCAAGGCACGAAAGACGGCTTCCCAGCGTAATCGCCAGTGTTGATTGTATTCTACAATGCGGAGAAAATCTCCACCGTAGCCTTTGAGCATCACTAGTGTCTGAGGGTTGATTTGAGCTCCTGGGGACAACACAACCCATGGAGCTTTGCCTTTTCCTTCAACGGCAGTACGTAACATCCGGCATTCAGGATGAACAGGCCATCGGCCCATAGGATCAATGATCACGGGCCGTGGTTGCCACATTCTCCCCAGGCCTCCAAATCCACCGGCCCCTTCCAGACGGCAGTTCAGACCTGGATTATCTGCAAGAACAGTCCCTACTCCAACAAGAATGGCATCGTGTCGGGAGCGAAGATAATGGGTCATCAATTTGGCCTCCGGTCCCGATAATACCGTCTGCATTCCTGGTTGAAGAGAGATCTTGGAGTCCATCGACGATGCGTACGACAATGTGACATGGGGGAGCTCCCGGCGTTCCGAGTGATTAGGAAGATAAGGATGTAAGAAGTCTAGCGAAAACTGAGGGAAGGATAGTGTGTCCGGGGGCAAAGCTGACGAGATCGAGGTTGGTTTTGTTTGGGGTGACACCTCGTTGACACCATCGGTGCTTTGAGTTTTAACAATACCATGGCCCTTTTGGTATTCGTAGCCCTCGTGTGCGACCAGATTCACCTCTGGGTTTTGTATACGCCACTTGGCGGAGATATTGCGGACGTCTGTCACAGTGAAGAATCGCCCGCCAGCCTCACCAAGCTTATCTGGTTCTTCCTGAAATTTGGTGTAAATGGAAGAAGGGAGATATCCCTTCACAGATTCTTTGCGCGCGTACTCCATTAATCCCGAGTTCCGCTTCACTCGGTCGATGTAGTCGAGGTCATGTGAGTGGATGCTGCAACTTCCCGGCGTTCTCGCGATGGTGACGGTCGAGTATGCGCCTTCAAACCGGACAACCTTGATTTGAAAGTTACAGATGCCTCCCTCTCGGACTCGCTTTTTGCGAGGGCGCTTGCCTTCTGGTAAGGGGCGAGTTTCAGATGTGCGGTGTGTTGGACGCCGTAAACGGCACATGTAATAGTCGGTGGTGCAATGGCCCTCTTTGCTCGCATTTGATCTTTGTTTGACCCATACATTGTCTATAAAAGGCCAATATGTTTCAAATTCTTCGAGACTGATTTCTATCGGGTCCTTGCACTCGAACAGGACCTTGCGTATGCGTGCTAGGTTTGGTGGATTGTTGAAAAGGCTGGGGGTAGCCTTCGCGCCTTGACTCGTTGATACGCTGCTGCTGTGAGCATCTCCTATTGTCGCATTGCGCTGTGTTGACTCGTTCCCGTCACCGTGTAATGCTTGTTTATCAAGGGCACCGGATAAATTGATGGGGGTTGTGGTTTCGGGCAGGTCTTCGTCCGTTGCGTCTCGTGTATCGCAGGCCCGTCCGATCTCTTGATCTGTTCCCAAAACGTCTTTCGCTTGCAAAGAGACTCCGTTGTGCGGGGATCCCGCCTCGCTGCCAGAAGCCTCTACGCTCGAGACGGACACGTTGGAGGCATGGTCCATCCTGGGGAAGCGTGGCAGAATATAGCTATAGCTCCTTATTCCTAGCTATGGCGACGAATGGCCATTTCACTGCGGAGTAGCCCTAAATAGACACACACATATATATATACACGATATAGAGCAAAGTGTCGGAGAACGAGCCTCGGGAAGAACTTAGTGGGGCGGAAACATGAAGGCCCGGAGATGTTACCCACGTTCTGAGGTCGAGTACGGAGTATACATGTAGTATATCAATAGCCACCACCTACATGTAACAGGGAAACATAGTCCACAGATTGATTCGGTCTTAGAAGTCAAATAGAAATCCATTAGAAATAATTGATCATTGCATCTTCGCTTGATTGTATTGTCGGAGACAAATAAGCACAAAATAAGTATTCCAGTATCTCAGTATCTCAAATCACATCTAATATGCCCCGATATCTGCCCCAGCACGAGCCAGAGTCTCATAGACCCGTGGTGGCAATTTGTACTTGACCATTCCCGAGAAGACCATGAGATCCTTGGCCATGACAAGCAAAGTATCCGCCAATCCCTGGCGCACTTCACTGTCGTAAACTCCAAAGGTGCGTTTTTGGCGTTCATAGCCAATACATGTGATGCTCCACATGATGACAGGTCCGATGTTGCGTGAAATGATGGGTGGCAAAGACGAAAAAGCTTGGGCCGTGCTTCGAATGTACGACACGGAGCCCTGAGCTTGCAAGGGGAGAATATTCAAAGCGTTGATAGCCTGTAACGTTCATTAGTAATTCAATCATAAAATAGAACCATAGGTTGGAGACACCTACATCAAGAGCTGGCGCCCATCTGCCGGCTTCAACCTGAGTCTTTGCTTCGATCATACGCAACAGCAACCCACAAGCATCACGGTTGACCTGTCGGATTTGCCCGTAATACATTATGTCTGAATCGTAAAGACTGATCATGTTCTTGGCAAGCACGCCCGGATCATCCACGGTAGTCAAACTGAGGCTGCTCCCGGCTTCCACTGCCTCTGGCTGGCTATCTTGATTCTGGTCGACCCTTGGGCGCAGGGGCTGCAGTTTCGGCATGGCACCCCCTAGTTCAACCGCGATTGCATCTGACAATGCACGGTTGATGATGTCAATGACACGATCGTAGTTCTCTGCCAAGTGGTACAGAAGCACGGCATCCGCGATCAATCCCTTATCATCCGCCACGGCAGCAGCTTGAACCGTAATAGTCTTCAAGAATTCTTGCTGGTCGACCAACTTGATCAAATCGAGACGTTGCTCAATGGCTCCCTTGAGGCGAGTACCGTCCGCCCGAATATCGCCAAGCAATTTGGCAAAGTCCCTGGTTTCTAGAATGAACTCTCGCAAGGCCTCATGGCAGACTGATGCTTGGGACTTGCCCAGAGCGCCTGGAAGATCTGCGTTGAGGCAGATCAGTGTAAAGTAATCGATGGCAGCTTCGACAAATCCAGTGCGGAATTCTCGGGTGTATTGGGTCAAGAGATATCCGAAATTGATCTGGGGGTATTGCTTGACTGTAAAGGAGACTGCAAAGAGAGAAAATTTTAGGTCAGCAAGATCATAATATCATGACAGAAGATAGGCTTACGAATTTCTTCACCAGAGGTGTAAAAGTCGGAAACGCGCAAAAGACCATAATAGGACAGGGCGATGGCAAAGTGAACAGCAGTGACTGGGGCATAGGTGCCGAGATAATGCACAGCCTGCTCAAACATTCCTCCCAATATCTGCAGCAGGAAGTAAGTTCCATAGCCACCGGGTCCCTCATTGCCCTTGATGAAGACTCTTTGGCCAATTTCCTGGATGTCGGTTTGAATATCCTCCAGGCCGAAGACATCACCTGCAACCTCTTCGGCGCGGTCATCCTCTCTTGCAAGGCTGAATTGTAGCCACATCCAGTCCTCGACAGTCTGCTTAACACCATCCAAGCGACGACGGGATAGATCACAGCGGCCAATTATCTTGTAGCACGCCATTCGGTAAGGATCGACTGTATTTTCAGGTGCGTTCCGCGATCGTTGCTGGAACTCGCCATTGATCTTTTGCTGCAAGTCCCTGGGCAGTCTCCGGCTCTGCGCGTAGGTTGTCATGTAGGTCACAAATTTGTGATCTAAAGACCGGAACCCGCTGTCCCGACTCACGTATTCAGCAGCCTCAGTGACAAAACCACATCGAAGAAGGTAGAAGATGAGAATCCAGCAGTAGTCTTGGTTCACCATTTGGAGCTCGGTGCCGTCAGGTGCCAGATCCTTCCTCGCGGCTTGAAGACGGATGTAGGCGCGAATCTTGTTGATCACGGTTGGAATTCCTCCCAATTGTGCTTCCCGTGGGTTTTTCGCAATGGCGGTCTCCACTTCGTCGAAGAATGTGCTCTCAAGGAAACCCCTGGAACCTTCAAGAATCTGCTTCTTGAGTTCTACTGCTTTGAGAGATTTGGACGATTCTTCCAGATAATCTTCGGCATACTGTCGCTCCTTCACTGCTCCGGGCTCCGATGGATTCATGATGTTTGGCTTCTCGTGAACAATTCTTATCAAGGCTTGATATGCGTTGAAGAGTTGCCGAGGTACCTAGAAAATTATTAGCTGGGACAAAGATACAGGTTGCGCGAAATTTTGAAACTTACATCACCACCAGCTTGCACTTCAACATATGAGAACTCGTCGAGTATGGGATAGCATTTTCCCTGAAGCCTGGCGAGGTTCAACTGTTGAACCTTCTCAGCGTAGTGGCCCATCTTCTCACGTTGGAACCTGAGATCAGGCGAGTGAGCCGCAGTTCCCTCCTTCCGCTCAGCTGGATCTTCAAATATTTGACGGCTTGCCAAGCCGACCCCAGGTGTGCCAATCACCGACTTCTCAAGACCGGAACGTCCGAATACGCTTCTGCGGGATGCGGTTGGAGGTCCGTTGGCTGAAGCAGCTCCGGTTTGCTTAGACTGCCGTGTTGACCGTCCAAAGGCACCCTTGGTGGTAGATTTAAGTCCTCCAGCGCCGGCAGCATCCTTCTGGGATAGCCCGAAATGATGGAATATTTTTTGACGTTGGTCTTCCCAGTCCATGTCCACCTTCTCCTCTAGAAAAGCATCGAAGTCCCGCTGAGCTCTGGTGAGACCCTCTGCGATCATGACTTGTCGACCACGTTGCTGGATATTCCGCAAAAATCTTTGGTTGTCTGGGTCAAAGTGGTCCATTTCCCTCGCTGGAGCTGCTAGAGATGCCTGGGGGTCCAGGGACTTGAGGTCGCGCAATGCTTGTCCCGGGGATACGCCAGAAGCTGCGAGAAGATAATGACTATTGATGGTGCCGCAAGGTTAGTCAAGGTCAATAAGAAAACATGCGACAAGATGGTGAAGATGGAACTCACGCTTTGCTGTTCTTGCCGTTTGGGGTATCCTTTTGTCCTGTTGAGCCTAGCTCTCGCGCCTTCCTTCGAATGTCATCCAGGCCTAACTGGAGACTAGGCACGTCTTCGAAGTTGTTGTTTTGAAAGACCGATGACAATGGTCGCTTTTTTCCACGTTCTAATAGGCTGTTGAAAAATGCAGGTTGGGTTGACTGACTCGCAGGTTTTCCCTGGGTCTGCAAGTTGCTAGCTTGTTGTGTCTGGCCCAAGGTCGGGGCTTGAGCGGGCTGTTGCTGGGCCTGAGATCCGAACAGAGACGACGTTTGCGCGCCTTGCGCACCTGGAGCAGAAAATTTTGCGAAAGGACCTGCCGTCTGATTGTTTGCGCCAAACAGGCTGTTTGACTGTGGGGTTGTCGAGGCTCCAAGACCCCCCCCGAAGAGAGAGCCAGTGTTGAAAGCCATGGAGGGTTGGTAGGTGAGAAAGCTTTGAGAAACAAGATCTAAACTAAGATTGCAGAAAAACTATTCTTTGAATTAGTTCACTGTGAGCTGACAATTGAGCAAAAGGATGCTGATCAAAGGGCAAGAAAACTGCATACCTAGGGCTTCGTAACAGTAAAGAATGACCACGATAAGTAGTGAATTTTCTCGGACTTCTGATAGTAAAGAACAGAGCTCTGCTTTTATATGGATAAAAAATAGCCCCGCAATTAAGAGTCAATAGATTGTCAATAGGCAATTGAAGAGGCTGTTTAGGAAGCTCGGTCTAAACAATTGTATTCCGGATCATCGATTGACCGATTGACCGAAATCCTATTGTTCCTTTATTTCTCAATGACCGGAACCATTGAACCCATTGAACCCAATAAAACTCCCATTCAGTCCTCCACTCGATAATAGTGATCCATAGATTGATTCGGAAATATGCCTGTGTTCCAGTCCAAAACCTTTCGTCGGGCAGCTACGGAATCATCGTCCCTCGGCGAACGGCTCGGTGCGTTCTACCGGGCGCGACTGGCTCGACACCCTTTCATTCTCTTCGGACTTCCATTCATGGCCGTTATTGTAGCCGGGTCATTTGCCTTGACGCCTGCTGCTGCCCTACGGTACGAGCGGTATGACCGCAAAGTCAAGCAGCTCAGTCAAGACGAAGCATTTGATCTCGGACTTAAGGGTCCTGACGGGGAAGAGGGAATCAAACGCAACCCACGGAGGAGGATTATAGGCGACGAAAAGGAAGAATACTACGTATGTATTGTTTTATTGTTTAATTAATCCTGACTTTCTTGTCTGACATTTGGACTGAATGCTGATTATCGTATACGCTTGCAGAGACTCATGGCCAAAGACCTCGATCAATGGGAGCAGAAGCGAGTACAGCGATTCAAAGGTGAACCGGATGGAAGGCTGTAACACTTTGAATTTAAATATCCGAGTGCATCCTCGAAGGCGAGGAAAACACGTTTTCCTCGTGACCTCACCTGGCGCATGAGCTCAAGCCTCATCGCTAGGTGTACGTTGCCGTACATTGCTGTGTGGAGATGAAGGAGGAGCTCAGGGGGTGCAGACACTCAATTATCTGGCTGGCCTTCGCGTACGACGTATGCTATGCTCCAATATCCCTACTTAGGTAGCCATTGGAATTGGTCTCGCTCACTTTCTCAGCCTCCCGGAAGTTGTATACAACATACAATGTCTCTGCTTCCCGGATCCTATATACTAGGCCATTGACTGTGGAATTCGGGGAAATATATATTTCCGCCCCTCTCCAGTCTGTTGCCTCACCTTTTCGCTTGTCGTATGGAGGTGAAAACCTGCATGGGTGGGACCACTCCACGGTTGGTTGGTCCCTTGGAGACTTGCGACTAACCGGGAACTGGGATGAGGTCATTGTTAATATTGATTCAACATAATTCAGTTTATGAATACACCGATATACAAAGTATATATTGATCTATAATGAAAGGGGACTTACTCGGCCAGATATAGCTACTACCGGGCTCCCAATTCTCTCTGTAGTGTGAGCTACCTCTATATATATCTATGTATACAGCAATCACTATTTAACTATTCATTTATTGGGAATATATGTACTATATATAGTTAAAATCGACCTACAAAAAAAAAACATACAACTACGTCAGGACTGAAGGTGAACCCGTGATCCCCCACACAATAACGTCATAACTTTTCTTCTCGAAGCCCCCAAATTTCTTCTTCACCCATTTCCTCTCAACTCAGGGCTAGTCCCAGGCGATTATTAATCATGCAATAACACAGATTCCCTCTCTCTGATATCAGACCTGTTCATCCCCCACTATTTGGCATTTTTCGTACCATTGGCCACCGGTTTTCTCCTTTGGCTGGACCCTGGTCTATTCGCTTCTTATTGCCCCTCTTTGTCTCTCGCTACGTCAGTTGCGTATATCGTGAGGTTCTTCCATCTGAAGTTTTGCGTACGCTTCCCTTCACTTTCTATTTGAGGAACAACATCGGTTTCACCTTTGTGTATTGGATGCCATTTATGACCAGCGATTCTCTTCGTTCCTAGGTCTTCAAAGGCCCTGATATCTTGGTCCGAGAGCTTGGGAGCACTTGTCAGTCTCACCCTTGAGCAGCCGCTTGCAATTGTCTGATACGCAACTGCGGGTGTCATTGTCAGGGAGTTTTGAGCTGACTGTGTTTCCTCGGACCAGAAACTGGAGTCGTGGAAGCTAAGCTGCCTGCCATGACAGGCCCAGGACGCTCACCCTCCTCGCCATGGGTACAAAGTGCACAAGGTGGTCATCATGATGGTGGTGTCGCACAGTCTATCCAGTCTACCATGTCCCCACCAACCACGGGCATGATGTCGAGCACGGCTTTTACAGAAAAATCAAGTCCCAACTATTTTGGTATGGCTGTGCAAAACCCCAACAATCAACAGACTTCCAACCCAGGGCTGTCCATGCAAAAGAACTGGGGCACATTACCCCATACGCAACCTCTGCCGAGTCCACAATTACCAGTGTTTTCTCAAGAATCAGTTTCAGCGGGATTGAAGAATCTATTGAAGACCGAGCCTGAAACCAGCCGCATACGCCGAGAATCAGCATTGCATGGATCTTCCTCTCCCCAGACGACTTCGTGGTCAAAGTCCTCACCTTCACATCCGTTGGGAAATTTCTCATTCGCACAACCCAGTGAACTGAGGCTTCCAGCCGGCAAAAACTTAGCGCCTACTCCACAAGGTATGAAAAGTCTTAGATTTGCTTTTTGGTTTTTTTTATGTCTTTGGCCCTATAACTTCCTGATGTGTTCCACTGCCTATCTTTTACAAATTATACAAGACCTAACACTGCTTATTCAGGATTCACTCCCGCTTCATTTCCTTGGGTATCAGCCGAACGCTGCGCCGAACGTCTTGAATCATCTCAGTCAAATACTATGTTATTTGATGTTCGCCCATTTGCTCACTTCAGACAGGCCAATATCAAAGGATCACTCAATTTATGCATTCCTACTACCCTACTCAAGCGTCGATCATTTGATACCCAGAAATTAGAGGGAACTTTCACAGACGACGCCGATAAACAGAATTTCGCTCGTTGGAGAAAGTGTGACGTGATCATTATCTACGATTCTGCCGCAGCGGAGTTGAAGGATGCAGCACCTCTTCTGAACCTTCTCAGTAAATTTCAGGCTGAAGGCTGGAAAGGAGATGGGTTGATCTTACAAAACGGGTTTCGAGGTTTCTCGGGTCGGTTTCCACATTTGATTCAGCAGCCACAGACACGGACGACTGGATCATCCTCTAAACGCCCCTCTCCCATGAGAATCAACCTGCAATCTGTTGCTCCTGTCGTGGGTGGTTGCGCCCTACCAGAATCATCCTCTGCCGTCAATCCATTCTTTGGAAATATTCGACAGAACATGGACCTCCTCGGAGGTGTCGGACAAATTCCTCTGAAGCAGCCCGATCAATTGACCGAGGCAAAGCGACAGCAACTCCCTTCCTGGTTGCGGGGCGCTTCCGATACTAAGGACCAAGGGCACATTGTTTCGAACAAATTCTTGGTTTTGGAGAAAACGGAACTGGAACGCATGAAACAGGCTTTAACATATGAAGGACCTTCAGGTGACACCAATGGTAGCCTCAAGAAATATCGCGTCGCGGGAATAGAAAAAGGCACGAAGAATCGTTACAATGATATTTACCCATTTGATCATTCTCGTGTCCGGCTCGAGGGAATTCCAGCTGGTGCCTGTGATTATGTGAATGCGAACCATATTTCTGCTGAACTTACCAATCGGAAATATATCGCCACTCAGGCTCCCGTTCCTGATACATTTGATGTGAGTAGCAGCCCCTCACAATGCTTGTTATCATATTGCTCACAATATCCAGGACTTTTGGCGCGTGGTGTGGGAGCAAGATGTTAGAGTTCTCGTTTCCCTCACTGCAGAGGTTGAGCGAGGACAGGTGAAATGCCATCGATACTGGGAGTCTGGAAAATATGGACCATTCGAGGTAAAGGCCTATTCGGAAAAACATATCTATATCGAACCCAAGGGCGGACCTATCGACCCCAGAGTTGGCAGTCCCATGCCGTCGACCGAACGGCCTGATGGCACAAACGAAAATCCAGTGATCACCGTGCGAAACTTCAGTATCTGCCATACGTCATTCCCTTTCGAGCCGCTTCGAGATATCACCCAGCTCCAATATCCTTATTGGCCCGATTTCGGAACAACGTCACAGCCTACCCATCTTCTCCGCCTCATTGAGCAATGTAACAAGGTCATTCGTGCCACCAGCAATCCCAGCTTTAGTAGTGAGCAAGCGGAACCAAAGGGTCAGCGGCCGGTACTAGTGCATTGCAGTGCGGGGTGCGGGCGTACGGGGACCTTTTGTACTGTCGATAGTGTCTTGGACATGTTGAAACGGCAACGTGCGCAGGCTGCTGGTGGTGGAGGCCTGGATCAAAATCCTAGCGGATCTTCCGAGTGGATGGGGGATTTCACTCTTGACCTAATTGCAAAGACGGTTGAGGATTTCCGGAGACAAAGACCGAGCATGGTACAGAACCTGAGTCAATATGCACTCTGCTATGAAAGCGTGCTTGAATGGCTCGCTTCTGAGATGGACTAGAACAAGTCCTTGGACTAGCCTTTTTCTTCTTCTTCTTCTTCTTCTTCTTCTTCTTCTTCTTCTTCTTCTTCTTCTTCTTCTTCTTTTCTCTTGCTATGATGACGACCCTGGGATACCCCTTTCTGGCCTTGCATTATTATCAGGGCCATGGTTTTCTTTTGATCTATGTACAATGTCATACAGCTAGTGGTTCTGCATTTTCTGGTGTTTGGGATTGCTTTGGGACAGGGGGAAAAAAATGGACACAGCTAATTTTCTTGCGTCTTGCGCATAAGAGACAATGGTAGCGTCCTAGTCTGATGATATTCAAGAATTGCGCTATTTCAGTTACAATCCACTGCTTTGAAGAAGGCTTATAACCACAGTTCAACAGCCTGACTTTCACATCCTGGGCGACAGAAGTTTATCTTCCAAGCTCTCTGTCGGAGTTGTTTATGTACTATTGTAATGCCCCTAGCATTTGACGGGCCGCTTGCCTTTTCCACTATAACCGATATTCAGGAACATCACTCCGCGATCAGTAATCGCAACCAGCTCGTCCTCATTTCCAGTGAACCGCAATTGAGAGCAAACGGCCTCTAACTGAAGGACAACTGGTCGCAAGTCGATGGCACCTGTAGACGATTCCCACGATGATGGGTAAAACCCGGTGCTGTTCTCTTCAATCAATTCCGACGGATTCAATGCCCAGACATAGAGGGTTTTCCAGTTAGCGACAGCAACACGAGTTCCGCGACGCGAAGTTGCTACCGGAGATCCATGCGAAGTTGTTACTTCCCGGAATCCCCCAAGCTGCGCCACAATCTGCCAGTTTTCAAAGCGCCTTCCGCGGTCGAGATTCAAAACATGGGTACACCGCGGACCAGTGTATGATTCAGACTTGAGTAGACATGCCACAGTCCATTTTTCAACACGGTGGGTGGCAATGCCGAAGGCGAGGTACTGCCAATGACAGTGTTCTCCCCGGTTTATATCGCCGAGCTCATGAGTACCGAAGAATGGTATTCCAATTGAGAATTGAAGCGAGAGGGAAGGCGAAAACTGCACGGTGCATGCATTCTTATTAACATGTGGCTTTGGCCCGCCTGGGGGGCAGGGATGCGATCAAGTCTCTGAAAGGCACCGTATATGTTTTGAGCTCGGTAGTGGTAGAGCAACTGAAAGCCTCGATCATTGAAAGCCAATTTCATTACGGGCCCTAGTCTCCGAGAAGAACGGACATGTGGGTCTTGATCGTTGGAGCTTGTCAGAACGTAAGCCTCAAAACCAGCATCTAGAGATGTCAGAAACCAGTTCTAATATGATATAATGACGAAACGAACAAGTGATTTTACAGGGATTATCTCCCTTACTTCCTTCTGTGATGCCTTCGCTAGAATCGTCTTCATCTTCGTCGCCATCGTCATCGTCATCGTCGTAGAGCTCGGTATAAAGAACCACGTCATGATCAAAGGGGTCGAGCGTGTTTTGCCATGATATTGCAAATTTGTCGTTGGAGACGGACAAAGCCAGTGGCTTATAATCTCGGCATTCGGGAAAGTCATACAATCGAATGGTGTTTGCCCGGGAATTCAAGCGATGGTAGGCCAGGTGAATACTCCCGTTGGGGCAAGACTTGAGGGCATGTTTAACAAATGGGTGGTCTGTATCCAGCTCTTGGTCTAAGAATGGTTTGAATCGGTGAAGGACGTAGACTCCACCGTTTTCACCAAAGGCAGTCTGGATGATTTCGACCTCCCCAAGATCCTGTCCTGGTGATTTCAATTTGACTTCGGTCCGATCCCCATCGGTCATGTCAATCAGATGGACGGTGCTATGTCCTTTGAAGACAAGTAGTACTCGAATGCTGTCTTCTGATGCCTCGATTGTCGATGCATGGTAGTCAATCACTCGATTTTGATACTCATAGGTGGGGTTGGCGTAATGCTCTGCCCCATCTAATTGTTCATACGAGCGTCTCATTAACTCACCAAACAGATGCCTAGTCTGATAAGCTTCAATCCCATCGTTCCAGCCAGGAGTATTATGCAGCTGATGAATGATGACTTCTCGGCTGCTGGAAGCAATCTCATAAAGCCTGTGGCTTGAAAAGGCTGCCTGGAAGTAGGCTGGTGTGTTGCAGCTCCGAAGAACCAGTTGTACCAACTCTGTGGGAAGTTGGAGCAGCATATTTGAGGTAAAATATTGCCCTAAGTCTAAGGTTTAGCATATACTTATAGAGCTTCTGTCAAGGCACAGTGCACAGACTTTTTGTTGCCTCGTGGGTCTAGGTAGCAGCGCCGATTATGGAACAGGCAGAAGGGGAGAAAATGATTAAATGAGGAAAGACAGGAAAGATAGGAAAGACAGAAACCCTTGGAAGACAACAAGGTCGCTAATTCAAGGTATCACTAGCGGTTTCAGCTTTGGGTTTGCCCGTCATACTTCTAAAATATGATATTTTGTCGTTTCTCTCCGCCTTGTATATATATACTAGACTAGTACACAGGCCCCCTGCAGGTCCAACTACGGAGTGTAATATACAAGAATACACGAATTTTTATAATTGGCTTATGATTTCAGCCGAAACTAGCCTTCGCAAGACATGTAGCCAGATAAGTCTATGACTTGGATGGACTTCTAGTTGAAATTGTGTCTCCGCAAATAGCAGGCTGGCCTGTTCAAAAGAATAACGGCCCACAAAGCATAGTTCCATCTAGTTATTATTTCAATATAGGTAATATGATGAAAGACCGAAGCTCACTGTCCTTCTCCGCCACCGCCCGCGGACATGCTGAGGAACATGAGGATTGGAATAACCCACCAGTACCTAGTTTATTAATTAGCGCACGAAAGCAACGATAAAAGTATCTGTAACCTACTTCTGCAAAATAGACTTTTCTTCAGGTTGCTCTGGGTTTTGGCCATCGGGCCCGACAATCACTGGCCTGTTCAGGTGAGGCTGCGTCCCGGATTCGTTCGAGACAAGTTCAATTTGAGGACTAGATGTTGAGCCCTGAGCGCTAGTAGATGCAGACAGGGAGACAGTGTAGACTTCGTTGGTTGGGCCGAGGTGAAGACGAAACGTTGGTTGCTCACTGGCCGTTAAAGAGGACAACGACACGAGACTGCCAACCCATTGCTTTTTGTTTGTGGAGGTTGAAGTGTAGAGACCAACACGCACGAGATTATCGCGCTGGTCATCTTTTGGGGGGTGATATGAGACCACGTCCGATTTCAATGAGGCTGGGTCGTAGGAGATGCGCGCGAGGACGGACGGTTGTGGCGATTCTAAGGGCCAATACAGGATGTCGGTCGAGAAGGAGGCATTGGCGACAGAAATTAGGAGTAACACAGTGCTGAAGATGGTGGATAGGAACCTCATGGCGAAGAAGTGAATTATAGTGAGAAGACAACCTGAGATGTCAACGTTTTGGAGAAGAAAGTCCGAGCTCCAACCCCACGAGTACATAAGCTGTACATAAGCTGTACATAACTATACATGACTATACATAACTAGTTATACAGATGAATCCCTTACGATACTTGCTATATACGTATTCGAAATTCAAAGACTAATAAGATATATATACGACATGTATACATGTAAATGTTCTTGTAAAAACATAACATAAAATAGGTAAATATCGTAATTTTACACTTACTTACTTATATGGTACATGAAGAGTACATCAATCACCGTATAAAATAGCGGGACATTCAAGTATTGGTAAAGTGCTCCGAAGTGCGCAGGTACCGGCTAGCACTGTCCCGTCAGGGCGGCAAATTAATGTGGTCGTAAGTTCTTCTCCTCATAGTTCACCTTCAATTCTCTTAATTCAATATCCACAGATATCAACAGTAAGTCTGCTTCGACCAGTCTATATTCCGTGTTTTGCGACTCGCTAATCTATGGTTAGTAGCAATCTATAGCTCCATAGCTGTCAACTCGAAAGGGAAGAGCTACTACGGCAACATGGCCTCGCGGAAAGCATCCAATGACCCCCGGGAGGATCTGGCAGTTCATGTCGACCACTATATTGGCATTGATGTCGGAACTGGCAGTGCCCGTGCCTGTATCATCGACGACAAAGGTGATATTGTGGGGTTGGCCTCAGAGAATATCGGTCTTTGGCAACCAGAGCACGGTTACTATGTGGGTGCAACTCCAAGGAATTTGGGTGCCAAATCAGTCTTACCTAGCCTCTAGGAACAATCTACCTCCGATATCTGGCGTTGCATTTGTGTCGCTGTTCAGCGCGTTATTAGCCAGCACAATATCAATCCTGACACGGTTCGGGGTATCGGGTTTGACGCCACCTGCTCCTTGTCGGTTTTCTCCAATGATACCGACGAGCCGATCTCCGTAACGGGCCCCAATTTCGACTCGGACCGCAACGTGATCTTGTGGCTGGATCATCGCCCAGTTGAGGAAGCCGCGAAGATCAATGCTACCAACCACAACCTACTCCGCTATGTGGGCGGAAAGATGTCTATTGAAATGGAGATTCCCAAGGTTCTTTGGCTCAAAAACCACATGCCTAAGGAGCTCTTTGGCAGATGCAAGTTTTATGATCTGGGAGATGCTCTTACACACATTGCTACGGGCAATGAGAAGCGAAGCTTCTGCAGCGTAGTCTGCAAGCAGGGATACGTGCCTGTTGGTGTCGATGGGAGTGTCAAGGGATGGCAAGAAGATTTCTTGCAGGACGTTGGCCTGGGTGACTTGACCGAAGATAACTTCAAGCGTATGGGCGGAGTCGACGGGGTGGTGAGCCTTTCCCTAAATGACGATGGCGCAGTTTACTGACTTTTGGTGCCACACAGAATGGTGATTATTTAAGTGCCGGTGAATTGGTTGGCACTCTCTGCGATAGGGCTGCAGCCGAATTAGGCCTGCCGGCTGGTATTGCCATTGGCAGTAGTGTTATCGACGCCTACGCTGGCTGGATCGGTACCGTCGGATCCAAATTCGACATGGACCCAGGCCAATCTAGCGCAGATGTCCCTAAACTTGATATATCGGAGGCCTTCTCTCGCCTCGCAGCTGTCGCGGGAACCTCGACATGTCACCTTGCCATGTCACCAGACCCGGTTTTTGTTGATGGTGTCTGGGGACCATATCGGGATACCATTCTTCCCGGATACTGGATGGCCGAGGGTGGCCAATCTGCCACAGGAGAATTGCTCAAGCATGTAATTGAGACTCACCCGGCATTCAACCAGGCTATTTCGATTGCCGAGTCATCCCATGCCAACATCTACGACTACCTGGATAAGCATCTCAAGGAGATGGCACAAGCCCGAGGAGCCCCATGTGTATCCTATCTCGGACGCCACTTCTTCTTCTATGGTGCGTTTGTCTTCATTGTTAGCATTGTTTAGGTTCTGGCTGATTTCGTTGATGAATTGGGGTTTAGGTGACCTATGGGGAAACAGATCTCCCCTTGGCGATCCTAACATGACTGGATCCATCTTTGGCCTAACCAGTGACAAATCTGTGGATGGCCTTGCCATTTACTACTACGCCACCATGGAGTTCATTGCGCTGCAAACTAAGCAGATTGTAGAAACAATGAACAAGGCAGGTCACCACATCACCTCTGTGTTCATGTCGGGCTCACAATGCCAGAATGACATCCTGGTCAACCTCATCGCATCTGCCTGCGATATGCCTGTGCTGATTCCCGAGTACATCCATGCTGCGGTATGCCACGGCGCTGCTATGCTCGGCGCCAAGGCCGCCAGCGCTGATTCCCAGGGCAGAACCCTTGATCTGTGGGATATCATGAATCGGATGAGTAAGCGTTGCAAGCAGGTGTTGCCGACAGAGGATAAGAACGAGAAAGCCTTGCTCGGCGTGAAGTATGAGGTCTTTCTAGAACAGTGCTGGAAGCAACGAAAATACCGTGGGATGGTGGATGACGCCGTGGGGGCCTGGAAGTCCAAGTCCACCTAATTTGATATCACGATCACGTCGGTTACTCTCTTTTCTTCAGTCACAAAAACGAGAAGACATGGATACTGGAGTGTTGGTTCACGATTTACAAATCGGGTATACTTGGCATCAGTCATTACCGCATAATAAAAAGTATGACAATTTCGAAATCATAACATAATTATTGCAAAATCATGCCCAATGCATCGAGCTAGAGAGCCTAGGTCACGAGGAAAGTCAAGAACATGAGTCACACACTCCATATAAACGTCAAGCATATAAACAAAATCCCGAAAAAACATTAATTCAGACAAGCCAATGAATGCCTTGTGCTGAAAAGCAACTATCACTATGCAATATGTGCACTTTGTCTAGTAGGCCACCCCGCCTCTTGTTCGGCCAACAGTGTAGAACTTGTTGGAACTACTGGTACCGCTTATGGCTAGGGTATCAAAGCGATCCACGCCCATACTGTCCATATTCACATAGCCTGACATATGGAAGCCAAGCACAACGACGAGGTAGGTGAGTACAAGGATGGATCCCTTAAAGTAGTTGCTCTTTCCTTCGCCGTATACATGCGAGAGAAGGAAGACGCACATAATAACGGTAATCATATCCCACTGCGGGAATATCAGGCTGTTGAAATATTTTGTTAGCCACAACATTTCGATTGGAGACATAATGAAAAAAAAAAAAAAAAAGAAAACGAAAAAGCTATCTTACTTGAATGAATGGCTGACAAGCTCAGATGGGTCTAGCGAGCGGCCATAAAAAGCGCTGAAGAATACCACAGCAGGAATCTGCAATAGACAGACCTGTAGTGCATAGGCAGACCCAATTTCCATAGATAACGCAATGTTTCCGTTCATGGCAAATGAGATGGCGTTCTGTTAGGTGTGTTAGCTAAGAATATCAAATGCAAAATCACCTCAGATAGGGCCTTCAATGACCAACGTACTAGGAACTCCGTCGTATTTGGCACCAACGCGAAAAGAGTAATGCCGAGGAATTTCTCATCAATATCCACGCTCTCTAGCACAACATCAACCGTGTTGACAAGAATTTCAGCAATCACTGCATAGAGGACAGTTGCCCCAAGAAGAATGACGGAGCTTTTGACTTTGCTCCAATTAGGTGCATCATGTCCTCCGCTAGAATGAGTGGGCTCCACACTCAACCCGAGATCTTCAAGCTCTTCCCCAGGTGTATTTCGTGATCGCTCCGGAGCAGGGCGGCTAGATTGACGAAC